TACAGTTCCCTCAAAATTGTACTTAAGTACTGTACTCAAGTAAATGTACTCCGTTACTGTCCGGCTCTGAAGATGTGTAGATTGTAGAATCAATGTATGATGATTCATGCTGATCACAGGTTTTGAGTGCTAACGTAACATCTGTAAATCTGTGCCTTGCTCCAAATATAGGGTACATATCGTAGGATATTTTCCAAAAGTCCTTACTCCAGCTCATGAGTATGATACGCTCAATACAGTTGTGAAGAGGTGCATGGCAATATCATCACATTTTGACCAGGAGCAAACTGTCATAACAGTGGACCAAGCTCTTTACTGCAAGCTCATGGAACTGAAGTGGTGTGTTGAGGAATATCAGGGCAAGTTAATCACTCCGCTTGGTGGACTTCATATTGCAATGAACTTCCTGAAGACTATCGGAGATCACATGGCTGGGTCTGGATTGCTGGGGGAAAGTGGATTGCTGGGGGACGGTGCTGTGCAGCTTTTCATGTCAGGGAAAGCATACAACAAGGGTATGAGAGCTCACAAACTGACCTTGCAGGAACAGTTTGACAGTCTCCTCAAAGATTTCATCGCATGTAAATCTGAAGATGTCAACTTTGTTTTCTGGTGGAACTACATGGATATGGTCTCAACATTGTTGCAGTTTACATGAGCTCAGCGTGATGGGCTCTGGGAGCTTCATTTTCACTCCTTCAGCTGGATGTTGCCGTACTTCATGCGATATGACCACCTGAACTACGCAAGATGGGGGCCAGTGTATATTTCTGAGATGCACCAACTCCCAAAACCTGTACTATCGGAGTTCCAAAGGGGCAACTTTGTTGTGAAGCGGTCCGATCAACGACTCAACCAGGTCGATCCAGACCAAGCAATGGAGTGGATCAATGGAACAGGGAAAAAAGGAGGGGGGATCATTGGCATTACTAAGACACTTTCAGCCCATTCCAGATGGACACTCTCCTACAACATGAGGTCCCATGTAGCAGAAGAGACACATTTGATGTTCAGCAACACATCTGAGAAAACCTACGTCCACAATGAAGCTACCAAATCCCGTGAAAAGAGAAACAACAGAGACGAAATGGCATTGGTTTTAGTCTTCAAAGGATTCAAGGTGTTTGGTTCAGTCTCACCAGGCTCATGGCAAAATCTCGCCACGAAAGACGTTGCCACAGAGGCTATCCAAAGCTCATTACTTTCTGCCAAAGACCTAGGACAAGAAAAAGTGAATTCATTCATTGAGAAAGGGATGATTGTTCCTGAGGACAAAGATAAACCAGAGGTCCCAATCCATGCAACCCTTACATAAGAGCAAAGCTAAAACATTTGCATCTCTGAAGTGGCCAAAAATCCTAAAATCAAAGACAACAGAACCGTCGTAAAGGGTGACCGAAACGTCCTCAAATGCCTTGTTACGGCCTATGATTCAGGTCGTCCAGTTGACTTACCAGCTGTCCTAAAATACGAGCTTCTGCCAGTTCCCATATCCCTTGCTGAAATGAATGGGACCCTTCGCATTGGAAACAAGTCTGTATTGGTAAATAAGTTAACAGAAGACATAGTCTGTCCTGAGGCTATTGAACTTCCCGACATGTCATCTTGCCTCATCATAGATGGACAGGCACTGGTGGTTGCCCTAGGAAAGCCAGACAAAGCAGTAACATTTGGAGATTTGGCTGACACATTTGTCAGAGCAGTATTGAAAGCAGGATGTTCCTATAAACGGATAGACGTTGTGTTTGACAGATACAGAGAAGAGACCATCAAGGGTGCTACCAGGACACGACGCACAAAAGCAGCTCAACCAATCAGACGACTTGTTGAGGGTCGTGATGTGCATTTTCTGAAAAACTGGACCAACTTGCTGTCCCTCCCTGACAACAAAGCTGATCTTGCCAATCTACTCTCTGAAGAACTATGTGCTCGGGCACCAGATGATAAAGAGATAGTTGTTGCTGGTGGGTTCAGAGACAAAGAAACCCGGGTTGGGTTCGGGTTAATGTTTAATGAATAGCCTCGGGTTCGGGTCGTGTTTGTAACTTAGAAAATCTATATAGGCTATACATATATATATATATATAGTTTGCGTGCCATGTGCTTGGCTGCTTGCTGTGTTGTGATCGTAATTATATGAGCATGCGAGAGAGAAAGTAGATGTGCGCAGTTTCAGCCGTCCTCCTCTGATTGGGAGCACATGCGCAAAACAGTTTTGTAAAATGATGTATTACTTATTTTTATTTTATCATATATCATTTTACAAAACTTTTTTGCGCATGTGCTCCCACGTGCGCTATTTCAGTCACAACACCACAATCAGAGGACGGCGCGGAAACCATCAACTGTTGATGCTGTTCTCTTCCTTCATAACTCGTACTGAGAAGGATAGGCTATATTGATGTGAATAGTTTTAGAATTTGTTTTGAAGTTTAATGTTTGATTTCTAGGGGAATTTGTGACTGTTTCACCTGTTCAACCACATCAAAGCTTCGTAATTAATAAGTCTGTGCTTTTTCTCTTTTTTTTCTTGTGAGCTGACTGATGAGGGGGCTGCTGTGCCTTGGTGAAACGGTGTTTGTACATGTAGCCTATTTTTTTTAAATTATCGTGGCAAGCAGTCATAAAATACAGCATATAAAAAAAAAAAAAAAAAAAAGCTATTTACTGTAAGAAATGGACCTCGGGTTCGGGTCGGCCTCGGGCTTAAAATATAACCGTAATGTTCGGTTTGGGTCGGGTTAAATGATTTCGGGTACGGGCTGGGTTCGGGCTTAAGTTTAAAGCCCGTGCAGACCTCTAATTCTAGTCTAGTCTCACGACAGGGAGCTCAGACTTGCGCAGGGCACTGGAAGACAGCCGCTGTGGCGTGATTGATTGGGACCCCCATTTCACATTGACTGAACGAAAGGGAACGTCTCGGTTATGTATGTATGTTCCCTGAGGAGGGAACGGAGACGGACAACCGCTGTACCGCTGGAACAGCCAGGAGTTCAGTCTCGGCTCCTCAGCATAACATAATGCGAGATTGCCACGCAGCTCCTTTTATACCCATGCGGTGGGGCGGAGTTGCGCTGTGCAAATTCCGCAGACCCATGGCATGGTTTTGCCATTGGCTCATTTGTAGAACTCGAAGGTGATAGGCTTCTAAGCGAAACCCCCATTTTTACAGTCACTGACGTAACGTCTCTGTTCCCTTCTCAGGGAACGAGGGTTACATACGTAACTGAGGCGTTACATTTGTAACCTAGACGTTTCTGAGAGATATTTTCACTGGTTGGTGCATGCATGAATTTTCATTATTCCTGTGTTTAGGCGTGTCCATGAGACGAATGGAACTGTATTTTATTATTATTATTTCAAAATATGTATTATGCTATTATTATTATTTTTAATTTTTCCACAAATTAGTTATCCACTTTTACTTTCTAGCAGTTTCAAAAATGTGTCCATAGTCTAAATTGTTTCTTTATTTGTTTAACCTGGACTGTGGTGCTATTTTCTTCTGGAAACAAATGTTGTTGCATTTTCCTGTTATCTTTGTAAAGCTGCTTTGACAATCTGTATTGTAAAAAGCGCAAAATAAATAAATGTGACTTGACGACTAGTGTAGGCTCACAATTTACTTTCAAGACACACAACAAGATTTTAAAAAGGCAGTTTTATTACATTTTTTAACAATAGCCATATCACGATCTTTATATTTCAACATTAAACTTTTTAGCCTGTACAATAATTTTAGATCATTATTTACACTCCTCCTGCAGTACCTCCTAGACCCACTGGGGTGTTTGGAGTACAGGTTGAAAACTGAAGACTAAATTGATGTACACATTGATGGCCTAAGACACTAAACGAGCGGTTTGTGTGAGAAAACAGTATTTATATCGTTTTTACCTCTTATAACCACAGCCACGTCCAAGTGATCAGAGGGCGCGGGCGCTTTGGTCTGCGCAAGCGCCGGAAATCGCCGGAAGTGATCACTCGCGCGGTTGTGAAAAAAATTCAACGTTGTCTGTTGATATATCGAAATCGTCTTCCATTGCGATTTCCTGTATATCTAAATATGTTTAGATCTTCACAGTGAAAGGTAACACTTCCGAAATCTCTGTGTAAACCATGAGTGATGTACATGCGCGAGAGATCACTTAATTCGGCGCTTTCCGGTGCTTGCGCAGACCGAAGCGCCCGCGCCCTCAGATCACTTGGAGGTGGCTGTGGTTATAAGAGGTAAAAACGATATAAATACTGTTCGTTTTCTCACACAAACCGCTCGTTTCGTGTCTTAGGCCATCAATGTGTACTTACATTTATGAGTCATTAAATCATGTTTAATTTGGACTTCTCTGTGCATGCTCTTTGAGGTGGTGACCATAGACCTGCATTATATGACTGACAGACAAGAACGGTTTGACCTAAAAATATCAAAATTGAAACTATTGCGGAAACAAAGACACCTACATCTTGGATGCCCTTGAGGTAAGCTAAAACATATCAAAAATTAATTTCAAAGTGAACTATCCCTTTAAAGAGCACTTAATATTCCTACTAGTAGTATTAAACGACACCCTGTTGAGTTTAATTGTCCAATATTTGACTCATATATGTCATAAAATTGTTTGCCTGTACCCACAATACTGTACTCCTTACATCTTTTAATTGTAAATGTTAAACTTATTTTAAGCTTATACAATTAAAAGGGTTGCAAGTTTTTGCTAATATTTTAATTGCAAAACAATCCTTATTCATTAAGCTCCCTTTCACCTGTTACTAGATGTGATCAAGAGACAGTTTGATATCACTTGCATCACTGGATACAATAAACAAAAAATATAAGTTGAAACATGTGCAGCAGCCTGTGATGAAGCCCCAAAATAAATGCACTGTATGAGCAGCACAAAAGCTTTGCAAGATTATAGTCATCTGTTGTCACTCTGGTCATCACTTTTTTAAAATCATCTGTTTGGAGCCTCATTAATAATAGTATTTTGGGTTTACTCAATATTCATCACAACAGCTTTGATAAATGTTATCATCAGATTTGACTACCACACTTTTATTATCTGTTATATTCATGTTAACATAGTCTTCTTCAGAGCCATCCGTGTCCACATTGACATGGTCCTCTTCAGAATGATAAGAGTCTATATTAATATAGTCCTGATCAGAATCATCATGAACCATGTTTTCATCAAGTTGTACATTTTCATAATCAGCCTCATCATCATAATCTTCATTTTTGTTGCCATTGGATCCACATGCATACATATTAGCTGGACCTAGAGACATTGCAGAGATGAAGGGACATAATTATTAAAGGAATTGTTAATAAAGACAGTGTTGATGAAAAAAAAAAAAAGACATCAAATAGTTTTTATGAAATGCTACGTTACCTTTTTTAAAAGAGCACTTAAAATGAGCTTCCTTTTTCCTTTGCTCTTGTCTCCTCTTGACCAGGAGGATGATTACGAGGACAGACAGTAAGAGCAGCACAGCTGACACCGCAGCACCGATGACAGGAAGCAGGGAGGCTGAGACAGACACACAGTTTAGAGTTAAACTTTCAGTACCAGCAGTCCAGATTGTTTTTAGGCTCTTACACATTAATACCTTTGATAGTGATGACCAGCAGTTCAGAGGCAGACGAATGGAAGGTGCGTGAGGACAAACTGACTTCATAAACACAGCTGTAGTTTCCTTCATGGGAATAATCTGCCTCAGGAAAGGAGAAGGAGGCAGAGAGATTGACAGCTGACTGAAAATTGGTGATATTTGAGTCCCTAAACAGGTAGAAGAAGCCTCCAGGATACTGAGATTCAGTGGAACAGATGATGGTGAAACTGTGGCCCCAGGTGATCAGTGGCCCCTGAGGCGCCACGTCAAACCGGCCATCAGGAGCAATGCGGGGCAAGCTGGGCTGCTGCAAGTGCACTAGAAAACAAAAATAATACAGTTATATGGTTACAGAGCCTCAAGCATTAAATTCAAGTGGATTTAAATCAAAATGGCTTCAACAACTTCATCTTCTCAGGAAGATCAGCAGCACAAACTTAAAAATAAGACATCAATACAGAATGAATTCACTTTCATGCCTTTACTGTATAATGTAGGCAATGTGGCAAGATTAAATACTCACCTACAGTGATTTGAACAGTGTTACTCCAAGGCGACTTTATAATGGTGTTTTGGTAGGAGTAATTACAGCTGTAGATGCCCTGATGTGAGACGTCTACATTAACAAGGTTGAAAGTCGCACTAGAAACGTGTTTCTTAGAGGACACAGATGATCCATTTATGAAGAGGTGGAATTCAGCATCAGCATTGCATCTTGATTTAGGTGTTGTGCATCTGAACTGAATGTTTTCTCCAGGAGAAACAACTGCATGTGTAGTGATCAGGGAAAGAGTGGGCTTCTCCAGGTCACCTGTAAAATAAATATACATCCATTTAAAATGACTTTTTAAGATGTGATGAAAATCGTGAAATACATTAAGTTTAATGAAATTGCTATTGCTCATTTCTCCCATAAAAATAAGTTAAGATGCAAAAGATTTGACTTACCTCTTGAACAAACAACACCAGCATCTTTAGCATGATTACAGTCGTTATTTCCTAGTCCTCTGTGTGAACAGTTTATGAGGTTTCCTTCCCCTCCCGAACATCCAACATCATCCAGCCAGATCGATCCTTGGCCTTGACCAAAGGCGGCACTTTGAGGTGCACTGATGGCTGAGCCACACTGTAACTGTCTGCACACCACAGCAGCATCGTTCATGTCCCAGTCATCATCACACACGGTTCCCCACTGGCCATTATACTGGATCTCCACTCTTCCACAGCATGAATCAGACCCACTGACCAATCTTATGTCTGGTAGCTTGTCTTAAAAATGTAAGACAATGTGATTAAAAACTATGTTGTAAGTAGTTATATACTGTATGCGTTTGACATTGTTATGAGCCAAGCACCAAACGTGCATAGCCTCTTTGCTTTCTCTCATTTTTTTATACAATTATTATTTGGGGCCAAACACTATAAGCTTATGCTGTTTTTAATCACTTTGGTACTTTTTTGGTACTTATCACTTTGGACAAGCAAAATAGCATATATAATGCCATTTTAGATCTGGAGAAAACATATATAGTTTTACCCAGTAAGCAGACGACACCTGCATCTTCATGATGACCGCAGTTGTGTTCTCCAAAAGGATTGTGTGAACACTGTGTGAGGGATGATTCATTTCCTGAACATTTCACATCATCCAACCAGATCGGATCACTTCCCCGGCCAAAATAAGCCTGGGAGTTTGCACGAACAGCTTCTCCACATCCCAACTGTCTGCACACCACAGTAGCATCTTCAATGTTCCAGGAATCATCGCACACTGTTCCCCACCGGCCATCATGAAGGATCTCAACTCTTCCAGAGCAGTCATTACTACCATTCACAAGCCTGATACTAAATCCACCTAAAAAATAAAACAACTGTATTATGAATCAATTCACATCTTACAACATGCTAAACTTGCAAACTAGCAAAAACTGTCAGTCATCCCATGTAACTAGAATGAGATCTGAGTTTTAAAAGAGTAACTAACAGTCTGTTACTTACCAGTTCCAGAAGTTAGAGCACTGGCTGTTGAGATGAAAAACAGTGATATTTTAAAAAACACTGTACTTACAATTAGATATTATAATTTACTTTACTGTCACCAGCACTAAGTTTCTGACAATACTTTCAGTCTTTTGAAAGACTTTGAAATTTCTAATTAAAATAGTTTTTAAAGAGCATGATTATAAACACAACGAGACTGTGAAAGTAAACTAATGACATGAAGTTTTTCTGCTTGGCTGATGACGCTTAGTGTCCCAAACAACTTCTCATTTAGCCACTTGTTAGCAACTGCTTTTTATTATTTCAGGCATATTCAAAAAATCTACTGATTTCAGAACGATGGAACCGGAAGTGCTAAAACTCAATTTGCAAGATTTGGCCTACAAAAATACATCATCCTTGCCATAGATACGTATACGTAGATGTCATATATTTGACTGCTCCAGATATGTCGATGCATCCACCATCTTGGAACTGTCAACATTTAATTTCATTTGCTGTGGTCATCTCACAGTAAAAACCAATGAGTTTTCTCCAAGTATTGCGCAGCCCCTGGTTGTAAAACCACAGAGATTTAAATTCCCGAAGAAATGGGATAAACTTTCACAGGTGAGAATGTGTTGCTATTGTTTATATGTGCATTAACTCAATATTACAGGTTTTTTAACTTTTTTAATGTCATGTTAGCAAACACCTTCGTCTTATCTAACATTAATGATAAACTAAATCCTATGAAAATCATCTGCTGAAGTCTATTGCAGACATAGATATACATGTGTATAACGTTTGCAGATACAGTTAACCTTCTCTTGAGTGTTTACGGACTGGTTTTGTTTATTGAGTGCATGCATAGTATAAACTGAACATGTACTAATACGCATGCGCATGATGTCACCGTTTTCACAAATTCACATTTTTATGTAGTTTACACTGATACAATTTGATAGCCTATTGTTTTCAAGAACTTGCAGAACCTGTACCTGTTTTCAAAAGTTTGCATTTTCAGGCCCAAAAACTCTGCTGTCGTGTAAATGAACAGCCAAAATGCATAAAAAGTTTTCAGTTTTTATTTATTAATGGTGTTGTGTAAACTAAGTTCTGTTAATGGGTGTGTCTCAATCAGCTCCCTAGTTCAGTAGTCAGGGCACTGATCAGGGAGTCGGCTACTTTAAGGGCTGTCTCTATCACAAAATCCTACCAGACTGAAACATTTGCTCCCTAAAAAGTCCCATAATGCACTGTGAAAACCAGGGAGCATCGATGCTCGTTGCTCACTATATTCTCTTAACGGAAGTTCTGAAGCATGAAATGTGAGTAAACTCACACAATATATATATATATATATTTTTTTTACAATACAAACATTTATAGCCTACAATTAAATTTCAGCTTAAACATACGTGGCTAGACAGGTACCATCTAGCAAATATTTATAATTTAATACGACTGAAAAGTTGCACGAATGTAACGGGAAAAATATTTAGGCCAATCATGTATATGGCTACAAACATTAAAAATGATGTCAGAAAGATATCAGCTCTGCTGTTGTCCATAAATCCCAGTAGCCTATAGCAGTGATGTTGCACAATGTTGACATGTCACTGGAAATAGAGTCTATCAGTGTCCATGAGTGAAAGTCCTTACTGTCCAGTGTTGCCAGATTGGAAATGTCCAAGTAAGTATCTTACCAGAAGCTCAAAATTATCGTACATGAGTCAAACTTACAGAATATAACTATTCATCTAGACCAACCACTTTTTGACACGGCCAGCGGGCCAGCAAATTACTTTATTGCTAAACTATCGAGCTCAGCTTGTAACTGACCTAAGCGCCTCGGCCCTCAGCAGGAACGTTAATTTGTGCTTGTGAGAGAGAGTCATTCTCCACGATGATTGGCCAAGAAGACGTAACGTGAGTTGAGATGGAAGACATGCACTATGACGAGTGTATAGTGTCTTTTCTAAGATTTCCCTAAAGAAGGAGAAGGAGCAGTCTACCCTTCCGTCGCCGTCAGTCCGTGTCAATTTTTGAATGGGATTGATAGAGACGGCAGACGACAGACCGGCGGCGACGTCACGGCGGTGTCACAGTAGGAACGTATACCTTACGGCGACGTGGTGACGGCGTATGTGAGAAATCCATAAAAAAATCCGACGTCTGAACCAGTGGCGTAGGCAGAAATTGTATTTTGGGTGGGCCAGTGAAAATGTGACTGGGCCTATAGTTTTTCCTAGAAAAAAAATGACTTCAATAATAATTAACATTAATAGACGAACTGAAAAAACAGTTAGCTGCTAACGTTACACCTTTATATTCGGCAAATCATCATGTTCAACCAACAGAGCTCAATAAAGGCTGGACAAACCAGTATAGACAATAACCTGTCTATTTTATTCTATTCAGCAGTGCAAATACAGTTCACCCGAAAATAAAGTAAGCTAAAATAATAATATCACAGTTAGATCGGCTGATAAACCCGCGTCAGGCTGACGGGGAGAGAGGGAGCAAGAAGCGGCCGGCGCCAACACCTGACTAGCCTTCTCCTGGGGTAATGAGTCGGAAGAACTGGGCTGGGTGGACTCGGAAGATGAAGGCAGTGGCGTGTCTTCTTCCTCAACTCTCGCTTTTTTTCAAATAGCAAAAGTTTAGCCATTATTGTGGCGCCGACGCCGCTGAGAGTTTTCCTGTCGGAACCCCCAGCAACCATAGCAACCAATAACGTTCCAGAGAGAGGCTTTCTACAACTTGCTTCACCGGTTAAATTTTATTCGGAAAACAAATTAAACACACACAGCAGTCAACAATTAATCAGGTATATATTAATATATTTTCATAAATAAATTTGAATAATAAAAATAAAATAAAAAATGTATTTTCATCAAACTTGCCTGGGCGGGTCAGTGAGTAATGTGGGCGGGCCAGTGCCGCCCTGGCCCAATACTGGCTACGCCCCTGGTCTGAACTAGGCACATCGCATTATAAGACACCTGATACACACGTCGTGCCTCTGTACGTCGCATTATAAGACATCTGATACACACGTCGTCCCCATGTATGTCGCCTTTAAAACATTTTAAAGTTTGCATTAGTGGATGTAGGCCTACTTGCTATAGGCTATTGCTTTTACAGTAATTAGTTAACTTATTTCCCAAAGGGCCCCTGGTGCATAATAACTATAAGTTTATTCAATGTTTGATATCATGGGTGGCGATAGGGAGGGGCTAGCGGGACTTCAGAACCCCCAAGAAAGACCAAAGCAAAAATATTTTCTGGAAGCAATTAGGCCTATATTCAGACTGTAGGCTGTATATTACTATTCTATGGAAGCCCTGAACCGCATGGTGAAGAAAAAACGAAAAAGAAATCTTATCTTGTTATTTCGAGATATTAAGTCGTTATTTAAACATTATATCTCGTTATTTCGACATAATAATTTGTTGTTTCAACATTATATCTCCTTATTTCGACATAATAAGTCGTTATTTCGACATATAAGGGGACATTCTAATCTGCATTAAGCCGTATAATAGTTTTCTATGGGAGGAAAATGCTTAACGTGTAATTAAACACGTTGCGTTCATATTCTGGGCTCATCTGATTTTTTTTTGTAATAGCCTATAGTTTATTATGATTTTTATCATAATGATTAATAAATGCACGCACAATTATCCGTGAACTTGATAAATGTTGCAGATATGTTTTATTATTCACAAACAAATGCCTTTCAACTTATGTGTGCAAAATTCAGAATTAAATGAATTTGCAGCAAATTGTACAAATACAGAGTCTGTATACCAAACACTATACGTGTTGTAGCCATTAAATAATCGCATTTAATTTCATATTTGTTAAAATATTATAATGTTATTTTTTTACATCTATGTTAATTTTGAAAAGTGAACAGCATAAATAAGATATGAGTAGAAATATATCGGTAGACATGGAATGGGTCAGACATGATTTTGACCACTTCATTAAGTTTTGTTTTGTAGAACGCCTTTCTTTAAAGCGAATTTCGTTATGTATAAATTGTCTCTTAATTTTAATAATTTTTACCATCAACGAATTGCCTGGATTTAATAAATAAGAAGCAAATATAGCAGATTATATAATCATGACATGGAGGCGCCCGCGCGGTCACTTGCATTGCACATAAACTGGTGCGCACATCTCAATATAAATTAACAGTAGGGGTTCAACCGAAACTCAGTGTATGCCTCAGACATGAGAAATATATAGAGAGCTTGAAATGTCTTTAAACGAAACAATTCAAAACGAAAAGAAATAGGCTACTCTCTGATTATGTAATTATAGCTTATGTATTTCTCTAGGCGCGTTCACTACGGAGATGGCGATCGTCAATTGCATATTTGCAGCAGACACAGTGACTTATACTTATTAATAAAAATGAATGCATGCGTGTCACCGGATTTACAAATGCACATATTGCAGGCCTATAATCCGCACACATATAATGTCGAAATAATGAGATATGTTGAAATAACATTATTAATAATAATAAATATTTTGGAATATTTGGTTGAATGCTGAATGTTGTGCTTGTTCAAATTAATACAATTAAAACTTTATAATTGAATAAATAAAATAATTGAATATTAAATATTGAGTGGCCAAGTTTTGTTAATTTATTAATAGTATTGATATATAATATATATATATATATATATATATATCATAATATATATAATTGCTCAGCTCCCCCTGTCAATGATCTAGCACCCTCTCAACACCTGTAAAAAAATTATCTGGCGCCGCCCCTGTTAGATATACACTACCAGTCAAAAGTTTTTGAACGGTAAGATATTTTTGAACAGTAATATTGTGAAATATTTATACAATTTAAAATATGAATATATTTTAAAATGTAGCCTAATTTATTCCTGCGATCAAAGCTGAATTTTCAGCATACTCCAGTCTTCAGTGTCTCATGATGATGATTTAATGCTCCAAAAACATTTATGATTATTATCAGTGTTGAAAACAATTGTGTACAATTTTGTGTCTGTGGTATGGCGTGCTGTGGTGCGACGTTGCTGTCACGCGTCTGTGGTGCGGCGTGCTGTGGTGCGACATTGGAGTCACACGTCGGTGTCACGCGTCTGTGGTGCGGCGTACCCCGTCTGTCACGTAATAGTAGCCTATGGCGCTTACTCCGTGCCAAAATCAAACATTCGAACGACCGACCGACCGATCGAACGTCTATCCGAACGTCTATCCGAACGTCTTACTTTTGAGCGTCTGACCGAGCGCGTGACCCACGTGACGACCTGACGTGACGTCAACGTCTTGAAATTAGCAGTTTTTTAACCATGCAAGTATCCAAGCTAATGTGTAAAGACTAGAAATGGACATTAAAGGCAATAATACATATAAATATTGTACCCCTAAAACAACATTAAAACATTTCTCCTGAATCCTGTGCATGTGAGGCTATGTGTTTTACTTTCAAAGAGCAGAAATACTGTAGGCTAGCCTATATACAGTCATTCAATAGTCTTAATTTGACCAATATAATCATTTTAACTAGTTTTTATTGTTCATTTTATTGCCCAATGTACAATGTTCTCACAGTCCATAAAAGAAAACACTCCAAATTAATAAATGTTGCCTTTCATTTAAAAAGAAGGTTTTCATAAATATATATTATATTTATATATTTGGAAATATAGATAGACCTAGCCTATATAGAATATCCATTTACACACACACACACACACGCACGCACGCACGCACGCACGCAAGTCCAATACTGTCATGGTGCTCTTCCGTCACTTTTGACCAAACATTTTCTGTTTTGAATTTTAAAATTCACAATTATACGCAAATGAACTGGTAGAACTATTACCATACAGCATCATTGAGTCAGAAGACTGAAATAAGAGGTTGAAATTAGATCAGATTCAGATGGATTAAGCTGTGATAAAAGAATTGCTGTTTATTATTTATTTATTGAGTTTTACTGTTATGTGTAATAAAATACTTTCTCTGTATTCAGGTTTGACTGTAGTAATAATGCAAATATTTTTTTTTTATTGACTCTTGTGTGCATGATCTGAAAGCACTGTTTGATTTTGAGCACAGATAAAATGGTTTTGAGTCTTTTTTTCTTTTCTTTTCTTTTCTTTGAAAGAAGAGTCAGATGTTCTCTGAATGTAGTTTGAAAATGTGGTTTTGTGTTTAAGGTTTTAAAAAATTAATGATGTTTCCAAGAAATGTGTTTTAGCAATTCAGGAAATCTGTAGGCTAATATAGATTAAAAACATGCATAGGGGCCTACTATTTTTTTTATACATAGGCCTATCACACAGATAACAAACTAATAAAAAGTTAATCTAATCAAGCATAATCTCAGTCTTAATAAAATTACTAAATTATCATAATCTTTCACAAATAGACATCATAAATGTTAAAGTGGAAAGGTTTATTTAAAAAATGTGTATAAGAGTTCTACATTTAGACATAATCAGCTGAATATACTTTACTTTGTAATTAAGGTTCGTAGATTTTCACGTCTGCCACATATAAACAATGAGCCAAAACGAAATTATTGATCATTTTCATAAAATCATATGTAACACGTTCCTACGTGTGCTGACGTGTTGTTAACGCGTTCCTATGGCGACCGGTCGGGAGTGCGAGTAACCGATCGTCATCCCAACGTGTTGTTTACGTGTGAAGACACGTTGTAACACGTTTGTGTTTTTCTTACCTTAGTTTAACTTCTTATGCTTCTATTGTGTCCTCTAACTAGTCCACTTTTGATTATTGGCTGATTTAGAAAGTTATGTGCTGTGTAGGCCCTATTATTAAAGTTAAATATAGCAGAGCCTAGGCTATTAACAAACCAGGCATTGACGGCTAATTCGGAAAAGCACGAGATATTCCAAATAATTTTTCTCTATCTCCCATTAAAACGGAAGTTTTAGGAACAGACAATGTCTCATATTTCATGGAAATACGCTTTAACACATTCAAATGCAGCGAAAACTGAAGCCCTATCTGCTTTTTTATGCATAATACAAATCAAATAGACTAGCCATGAATTAAAAAGCCCATTGCCTATAAAATATAGGCTACTGACCAAATATCATACAAATGGAATTTACAAATGTAACAATTGTGGTCTCAGATAAATATAAAAGGGTTTATTCCTACTCTAAGATATGTCTGAATCTCAGGAGGATATCTTTGATCAAGTAGATACAGTATCTCTGTAAATGCAAATAAAAGTGATGTTCTTTATTTCATTCAAGACCTTACACCAAAATCAGCTTGGCTTCTATGGAAACTGAACATGTGTTTATTGTATAACCTCAATTAAAACATCCAGAGCTGACTATGAAAAATCAGATTCTAGTGGTTGAGAACATAGGCCTATTGAAAGTCTTTAAGTAAGGTAAGGTCCACTCCTCCACTGTAAAGGTTGAATTGTAATGTTAAACATCAAAGTATTAACTAAAATAGGTTTATGTTCAACTATTTTAATATTGAACAAACTAATAAATACATATTTTCTGTAATGCCAACTCCCAATATTGATATTTTTGGCAGCCAGCTTAAAAAAAAAAAAAAAGATTCTAGCGGTTGAGAACATAGGCCTATTGAAAGTCTTTAAGTAAGGTCCACTCCTCCACTATATATATGTATATATATATATATATATAGAAAGCATTTTGTTACACATAACAGTAAAACTCAATAAAATAAAAAATAAACAGCAAATCTTTTATCACAGCTTAATCCATCTGATCTCATTTCAACCTCTTATTTCAGTCTCCTGACTCAATGATGCTGTATGGTAATAGCCCTACCAGTTCATTTGCGTATAATTGTGAATTTTAAAATTCAAAACAGAAAATTGTTTGGTCAAATGTGACTGAAGAGCACCCTGACAGTATGGACTTTTTTGGACTTATAACATTTGTTGGAAAAGTAAATTAATTATTTTACTTATGAAATATTGTTACTGAAAGTTTTATATAGCATATTACAGTAAAGTGTAGTAGTTTTTAAGTTTCTGGAATATCCTATTCTTGGAGCAGGAGGTGCTCTACAATTTAATCCACTACAATCCACAGGTGACCCCCAAAACTCCAACACAGAAACTCTTATTCTCAACACAATATTGTTTACAAACAAACAAACAAACAAACAAACAGACACAAACAATAAAGATGCATAAATAGGTCTTAAGTTCATAACATTTAGCCTATTATTAAATATTTTAAACTGTAGATTCACATGTCACAACACAACAGTTTCAAATATAAATGTACATGTATAAATAAATATATATAAATATAAATGGATATTTTATATCCTTTTTTATAATTATTATATACATTTTTAAAGATATAAATCTAATATTTATATTTATGAAAACCTTCTGGATCTGTTTTTTTTTTAAATGAAAGGCAATTCAAAGTGTAATGAATTTATTAATTTGGAGTGTTTTATTTTATGGACTGTGAGAACATTGTACATTGGGCAATAAAATGAACAATAAAAACTAGTTAAAATGATTATATTGGTCAAATTAAGACTATTGAATGACTGTATATAGGCTAGCCTACAGTATTTCTGCTCTTTGAAAGTAAAACACAGCCTCACATGCACAGGATTCAGGAGAAATGTTTTAATGTTGTTTTAGGGGTACAATCAGCGGTGTAATTTATGGGGGGTTGGGGGGGAGATAAACCCCCCCCCCCCCCCCCCAATATTTATACCATGATCACATGAAAAATATGCAGAACAATTTTTTTAAACTATATTAAACATTACAACCCCCCCAATGTTCAAACCAAATCTACGCCCTTGGGTACAATATTTATATGTATTGCCTTTAATGTCCATTTATAGTCTTTAGACATTAGCTTGGATACTTGTATGGTTAAAAAAATGCTAATTTCAAGACGTTGACGTCACGCCAGGTCGTCACGTGGGTCACCCGCTCCGTTAGACGCTCAAAAGTAAGACGTTCGGATAGACGTTCGATCGGTCGGTCGGTCGTTCGAATGTTTGATTTTGGCACGGAGTAAGCGCCATAAAAAGTACACGACTGTCGACTTCGGTAGGTTATCCGTGACACTATCCACTCGTCATAATGCACTACAATCACGTTCTCATCACAATCTTGAAAGTAGACGTATGATCCACAGCTAGATCAATGAGTATAGAAGCCCTATGATTATAACGACCATCATTTGAAGTGTCACAAAATTCTAAAATTATCGTAGGCCTACATTATGGGATTTCCCCCCCATTATGGATCGTAGCCTACATCGTACAGAGGTCAAAATTATCGTACACATATAATTATCGTACGTCTGGCAACACTATTTCTGCCCTTGGCATTGCCCGAATTCATGAACAAGATACACTGACTGATTCACGACGTAGAAAGCTGATTGAGACGCACCCATAGCCTATATGAATTTGTTAGAATGCCGTATACGTCTGGTCTATGTCTACATAGCCTACCTTAAACATGGCTGGGCTGTGTTTCCCAAAAGCTTCTCAAGTCCAAGTAGAATAAAAATAAAAAATAAAAAAAAATGCTTTTGGGAAACGCAGTCATGGGAAGCAATGTTAGTTTATGTTTAATAGTTTAAGCAATTTTAGTTTATTGACCAGGTCATTTTCATTAAGCAGTTCAGTTGTTGGCAATGTCTTTTCAAAATCAATCATGTCAACTCAAACATAATGATAATCAATGTTTTCAGTTTAAGGTAACTTTCTGGGATTAGACATGAGTTTCAGTTCAGTTAAAAAATAAGCTCAGTAAAAATCTGAGATATGACAGAACAACTATAAAAAGATGTAACCTAGACTTTTAAAGTTCATAATCTTTAAGTAGACTGTTTTGTTAAGGATTAAATATTACATTGCCATGCAGTAGCCTACTAGCCTATCTATAATTATCATATTTTAATCTGTAATAAAAAAAGTGCATTTACCCAATATCAAAATGAGAAGACAAGGTCTTGGCATTGCAGTCCTTGCGTTGTTTCAAAGTGCCTATGAATATAAGAGGCCAGGGTACTTCCTGCTCATGAGAAGAGCTGATTGTGCTTGAAGAACTGAAACTAGAACCTAACATACATGTGTAGTAACTGATCTGTCCATCAGGAACTCATCTGTTGATTATGCCCCTAAATGAGACACACCACTAATATAAAATAATCAACAAATAATGAAAAAACTAAAGAAAACAAATAATGTTTATTTAAAAAGAAAAATGCTAACTACACCATTATGGTGGCAAAATTTTAAAAATATTTGTTCTCCTACGAGAGGTTCTCTCGTATTGCGTAAGCTAGCTTACGGTACGGGAAAGATGAATCTTTTCTGAGAACTTGAAGCCAAAAAATTATCCTATAATTGTCGCCTCCGAGGACGCCGCGGACATCAATGAAACCTGTTCACTTCTCGCTTCAGACAGTGAGGAATGGTCCGGTTCTCACGCCTCCTCGGCCCGAGAATCCTCTGGGACCCGCGCTGGAATCGAGGAGGAATTAGTGCGCCTCCTCTCACAGGCCGTCGAACACCTCGGGCTCGATTGGTCCCCTCCCCCCGAGCAGACCATCAACCGTATGGACGGCAGCTACTTCCGCCAGTGCTCGACTCCCGTCTCTAAACGGGCCGCGCCCTTCCTGCCTGAACTGCACGCGGAACTCACGAAGTCCTGGAATGCCCCGCTCTCTGCTAGAACTCGCTCTGACTCTTCCGCCCCGCTTCGCGTTGTGGACGGAGCCGCAGAAAAGGGCTATCTCTCCATTCCCCCTGTAGAGGACCTGGTCGCCGCACATTTATGCCCGCCTTCCACGAGATGGCGCTCATCACCTGTGCTTCCCTCTAAAGCCTGCAGAGCGACTTCAAGCTTTCACGCCCGCGCTTACTCAGCCGCCGGCCAAGCAGCCTCTGCACTTCACTCCATGTCCGTCCTTCAGATACTACAGGGTGATTTACTTCGTGAATGGGACGAGAGCGGAAAAAATCCCCCCACAGTCGCGGATTTAAGGAGCGCCACGGACATTGCCCTTCGCGCTACAAAATCTGCTGCTCAAGCCCTGGGTAAATGCATGGCCGCCATTTGTGTGTCTGAAAGACATTTGTGGCTCACACTCGCCGACATGGGAGATTCTGAGCGTGCCGCTTTTCTCAACGCCCCGCTCTCTCCATCCGGCCTCCTCGGATCTGCTGTCACGGGTATCGTTGACCGTTTCTCCGAAGTGCAGAAAGCCTCCCAGGCCATGAATCTTTTTCTGCCTCGTCGCGCTAGCTCCTCTGCAGGCCGCTCACGTGACCAGCCTCCTGCACGAGCCCCACTCCAGCGCCCAGCTCAACACAGTCAGACTTCTCAGCGACGCCAGGGCGGCTGCCCTCGTTCTCGCTCTGACAGCCGCCACAGACCGCCGCCTCCTCTGGGGCCTCGGCCTAGGATCACGCTGAAACCTGATCACTCGAAGTCTGCCTAGCACAGCTGAGGAAAAGACGGCGCTCTCCCGCCGCGGCCGGACCGCCGTCAAAGTTTCGCCCTCTGTTAGTCCCCGCTCACGCGGCTACTACAGCAGTGTACCCCGCCATTACCAAGCCGGTCCCCTTTCCCGCTTGCATGAGCACAAACGCCGTTTTCACGGCGACCCAGAGAAATCTCAAAAAGAGCATAAAAGCCTCCTGTGTAGAAAATGTGCCCACAACACTGTGTTCACTCATACACAAAAGCATTTCAGTTCCCGTGTTTCTCACAGAGGCCACTCTCATAAAGCGGTTCCAACCCGCTCGAGTTTCAGAGTGCATAAGCGCGCCCACGAGCCCGTGGGCGCGTCCCACCTCTGCTCACTCTGTAACACGACCCTTAAATTCCTCTCTGAGTGTAAGTCCCGCTGTCATAAACACTATGAGCGCGCCCGCGCAGCCCGCTGTGTGCAGCAACGGAGACCATGTAGCCATTCACCCCTTAGCGTTACGCTTCAAAGCGTGGGAAGCTATTCCGGGAATTTCCCAGTGGGTGCTAAACACAATAAGGCTAGGCTATCGCTTACAGTTTCACCGCCGCCCTCCACGTTTCCGAGCGCGGGTAGAAACTATTGTGAACCCAGAAGCAGTGACACTGCTCCGTTCAGAGATAGCAAAACTATTGTGCAAAAGGGCTATAGAGAGAGTTCCTCTATCTATGAGCGAGTCGGGGTTTTACGGCCATTATTTTCTGGTTCCAAAGAAAGACGGCGGCCTCAGACCAATCTTAGACCTCAGATTTCTGAACAAAGTTCTCATGAAGAGACCGTTAAAAATGCTCACTATCAGAAAACTCCTCGCGCATGTGCGCCAGGGGGACTGGTTCATTTCACTAGATCTGAAAGATGCTCACTTTCAGATTCAGATAAATCCCCTTCACAGGCCATTCTTACGTTTCGCCTTCGAAGGCCAGGTTTATCAATACACCTTCCTTTCGTTCGGCCTATCCCTAGCACCCCGTATGTTCACGAAGTGCATGGATGCGGCGCTCGCCCCCCTGCGGAGTCAGGGGCTGCGAATATTGAACTATCTGGACGACTGGCTGATTTTGGCACAATCACAGAGAGAGGTACTGTCTCATCGTACAGTTCTCCTCAACCATCTGAAAGCTTTGGGCCTCTCTGTCAGCTGGACAAAGAGCGCACTACAACCCAGTCAGACTATCTCCTTCTTGGGTATAGAGCTAGACTCGGTCACGATGACGGCTCGTCGGTCAACACAGCGCGTGCGCGCCGTGTTCAGCGTCTCGCCGCATCTTTTCAGATGAACAGACTCACACCTCTGAAAACTTTTCAGAAGGCGTTGGGTTACATGGCCTCAGCCTCCGCGGTGCTCCAGCTGGGGTTACTGCGCATGCGCCCGCTTCAGCTCTGGTTGAAGAGCCGTGTGTCTCACCGTGCGTGGACCACGGGCCGCCAGCTGATAAAAGTAACGCAGACCTGTATCACAGCTCTGCAGCCATGGACTGTGGCAGAATGGTTTCAGTGGGGCGTTTCCATGGGGACCCTTTCTCGCCGAAAAGTCATCTCGACAGACGCATCCAACACGGGTTGGGGTGCGGTCTGCGAGGGCTCACCGGCCTTCGGCCCCTGGTCAGCTCAGGAGAGCCTCCTCCACATAAACTGTTTGGAGATACTGGCGGTCGAAAACGCGCTCACGCGCTTTCTTCCGCGCATTCACGGTCACCACGTGCTGATCCGTTCGGACAATATAGCCGTGGTCTCCTATCTAAACCGTCAGGGCGGAGTCAGATCCAGGAATCTCTTCCGGCTGACAGAACGCATCTTAGTTTGGTCTCAGTGTCACCTGCTCTCGCTCAGAGCGACGCACGTGTCGGGTCATCTGAACGACGGTCCAGACAGTCTGTCCAGGAACCCCATTCCCCCCGGGGAATGGTCCCTGCACACTCTTACAGTCCAAAAGCTGTGGCGAATATTCGACAGACCAGAGGTGGACCTCTTCGCCTCAGAAGAAAACACCCACTGCCCAATATTTTTCTCAAAGAGCGAGGACGCGCTAGCCCAGACCTGGCCCAGCCACCCGCTTTATGCATTCCCTCCGGTTTCTCTGCTACCACAGGTGCTTCAGAGAATCAGGGAAACACGCCACTCGGTGCTCCTCATAGCTCCGCGTTGGGAGGGTCAGACTTGGTTTCCGGAGCTCACTCAGCTGTCACAGACAGCCCCGTGGCCCATTCCAATCAGAGCAGATCTCCTCTCCCAAGCTCGCGGCACGATCTGGCATCCCCACCCAGAGCGCTGGGCGTTACATGCGTGGGTGATCAACAACTACCCGTTGCTTTGCCAGAGGGAGTGTTAAACACGATCATGCAGGCTAGAGCGGCTTCTACTAGAAGGCTCTACGCGTCTAAATGGTCTGTGTTCTCTAAATGGTGCACCGACAGAAACTTGGACCCACGGTTATGCGAGGTTCCTTCCTTGCTAGTTTTTCTCCAAGAGATGTTGGACAAGGGCAGGTCCCCGTCCACTCTCAAGGTGTATGTGGCAGCCGTCGCAGCGTTCATTGAACCCCGGCGCGGCCAGTCACTGGGCAAAGATGGCTTGGTCATCCGCTTCCTCAGAGGAGCTAGAAGGATGAACCCCCCACGCCCCCCTTCGGTGCCGATTTGGGACCTTTCCATAGTTCTCGAAGCTATGAAAGCCCCTCCATTCGAACCGCTAAACACCGTGGACCTCAAATACCTTTCGCTCAAAACAGTTTTTCTGCTCGCGCTCGCGTCAGTAAAACGTGTGGGAGACCTTCACGCGCTGTCCATTAGCGCTTCCTGTCTCGAGTTTGGGCCCAATGACTCCGTAGTCGTTCTCAAACCTAGACATGGTTATGTCCCAAAAGCGATTGGTACCCCGTTCAGGGCACAAGTTATTTCCCTATCGGCTCTGACTGCATCCGATAGCGAATCTGACTCTAATCTCCAGTGTTCGGTCAGGGCCCTGAGATTATACATTACTCGCACTGCTCCGGTCAGACGATCCGAGCAGCTTTTTGTTTCGTTTGGGGGGCGCACCAAGGGGTTGGCCGCCTCGAAACAGACTCTGTCCAGATGGATAGTTGATGCCATTGCAGCCGCATACGCATCAAAAGACCTGCCATGCCCTCTGGGCATCAGGGCTCATTCCACTAGAGGCATGGCCTCATCGTGGGCATGGTCCAGCGGAATTTCCATACATGACATTTGTGTGGCAGCGGGATGGGCTTCCCCCTCCACCTTTGTCAGATTTTACAATCTGGAAGTTCCCGCCTTGCAGGCTAAACTACTAGCAGTCTAGTATGTTACAGCTCTTCTGGTTGAGCTGCACCATAGGGAGTCATTCACACAGACCGGTTTTCGCTCTGTCCCTCTCTATCATGTGCTTATGTACTACACAATCTCCGGCCCGCTCTGCAGGCCTTTGTCACAGGTACATATAATTATTCCCACTCATAAGGGTTCCCCGGGGTCTCCCCTGGGACTCATAGTGGATGCTTAGCACGCACGGCGTTGACCA